TAAATTTAAACTACTCTACCACTTACCCCTCCAATTGCTGTCATAGAGTGTGGACCCTTACGCCACGCTGGGCTCAGGCCATATGAACTGGCTAACTATATTAATTCATTTATTACCTCGTCTTTCGGTTGGCACCTTCGGACTGGTACGGCTGTTACATGGCTGATAGTCTCTATTGATTGCACCAAGCACTGTGAATCAGCAGACAACAATCGACTCATCCATCCAAATCATCTTTCGAGTCTGATCTTTGCCAGGCATCTTTTATCTGGGTTGGTCCCCTTCGAAGGTGCTAGCCATCGATATTAACATGCCTCATGTTGAACCCTAGTTCCAGACGATGATCCCCCACACCCCTCTCGTACTTACATGTATGTAAGTAATAAGATCGAGTAAGATGGCGTGACAGCGATCCAAGCTCGCATCTTCCCGCCTGTAGCCTTTCGGACACGGAAGACCACAAGGCTGCTCCGTCCAGATTGTTTCAAAGTACCCATATTGGCGGAAGAATCGGAACCCCGTCGGCGCCAGTCGGTGATTGGTGCGCGCGGCCCAGAGAACACAACGGAGCGGTCTCGGCGCACAGTCCGGTATAAGGGCTTCCCATTGGCTTCCGGGGCAATGGGCAATCGTTTGTCCGGATTCCGATCGTCTTGGCCGCCCCGCGTGTTATCATTCCTCTCTATGACTGCTTATTGCTAACTACTACGTAGTATATACATATTCTGAATAGTAGATCTCTCCCCTGATGTCCCCCCACCGCGTGAATCTGGGTGAATAAATTGTTTTCCCGTCTGTTAAATACTGCTTGGTATCAATAAAGCTCAGGCCGTTTGTAGTGATCAAATACAAATGATGTGAATCCGGGAAGCATCCTGGCCATATGTAGCTGGAATCGAAACAATGACATACATTGAATTCCCTGGATACATCATCGCTGTGAAGCACATGTGGCCCGCTCCGAAATAAGGACATGCCACCTCATACACTCATACACTCATTATGACATTTTGAGCTTTGCTAGCAGCGATCTTGAAAGAATAATGGATATATTCTGATTGGACTATGCGCAATATGGTCTATTTATCTACTTCTTCCCATGGCTTCTAATCCATGATATCATTACAGTCGAGGTGGCATCCCAGCTATAGATTTTAACACCATGTTACTTATGCTATGTATGCCTCATATATTGCAGGTCAGGCACCCCATGAAACCATCATTCAAGTACTCATTAATTAATGTGCAAAGGCCAAGGACTCCGACGGAGCACGAGTTGGGTCATACCCAAGCTTACCTTTGATAGAGACTCTCAAAACCCGGCATTTACTTGAGGTTGTTACGCGATGAACTCTATCAAAGTGTGTACGCATTCATAATCAGCATATGTCACTGTCATGGAGGCGGCCGTTCTCGTATCACGTGCACGGATATTATCATTCAGTCCGTCGATTGATCTCTGTCATATGGTTGCACGTGGTACAGTCGTTATTGAATCTCAATTCCCGTATAGGTCACATATATGATGTATCATTCGGAGCGCACGATTCGGAGCTCGGAGATATAGTGGTTAGGCTTTCTGTCAGGGGTAGAAAATCCACAAATCGACATTAAAGTCGCGACTGACACACTTTGCTAAGGAGACCAAGTAGGACTTCGACTATAATTCGATAAGCGGATACCGAACTCATGTCCGTTCGAGAGTGGAGAGACGAGATTGCCGATCGCCTCGGGACCTGAACGAACGACAAGGTAACTGCCCTGATTTAGGGGCAAGGCGGAGAAATATCCATGCTCATGAAAGGGGTGCGACCATGAGAACTTACTAAAGTATATGATCGGACTTCCTCTAGACCCCCTGTTCATCATGAATTGAGGTACATATGGCTGAGAGGGGGGATATGAAAAATTTCATTGAGGGAAGCAGGATAGTCCGGCTTATATAGGACAGTCACTGAATATTCTCCACTATGATTCGATAGAGATTAAATAAACCACAACCTCCCTAGGCCGCCGCTATCCGGCAAGGGGAGCTGTCCGTGGGGCTTTCCTGCCAGCAGACTTTGAGAGGAATGTTGGTAGAAACCGGGGATACACAACACAGGCTTTTAAGACATCCCCTACATCCTTGGCAAGGATGCAGACTATAACGAGTGTCTCCAGAGCAAATGACGATGGATATGCTTCAGTGTCCCGTGTTGGTGTTTCAATCTGTGACTCAAGTCAAAGAAATCATGTAACTGCTGGGACAAAGTGATGTGTGGATAGGTTGTATTGCTGCTTAAGCGAGATATGACCAGGAGACTCACAGGGCTAAAATAATCTCCGAAGCTGCGTTGTGCAACGATTAGCGAGAAGGAGATCTCCTGAGCAGGCAAGGAATGAGTAATGTCTCAAGATTTGGGGAGTTGATAAAGGGGGTTCCTTATCTTATCGCAGCGGTGATCAAGCTTAATAGCTCCACCTGCGCGTCAGTATTGGCTGATCGGGAGAATAGTCTACCGTCGTGCTAGAATGATAGTAGCTAGAACAAGAGGATCTATTGTAGGAGAGAATGAACGCGACGCGAGTTCATTGTGGCAAAGATCATATCCCTAAACCAGAGGCAACAGCTTCCTTTGTAAAATCCAAGTCTCCGCACGCCCACTGTGCCAAGGCATCAAGGACGCAGTAGTGTAGCAATTGCCAAGGGGGACGCCCTGACTCCAACCCGCAAGCCCGGCGACTATTGGCCCCCGGGCCTGCCGATCGCAGCGGGCGATGGAGCTGAGTTGGAGCCGACAATGGGCTGTCACTCGTCCACTGCACCTAAGCAGCCAGGGGCATGCCGATCCCAACCCCAGGGTCCCGCGCCGATCCTGCCGATTGCTGTTTCGGCCTGCGTTGGCGACGCTGGCCAGCTGTTGCTGCTTCCCTGCTATCGATTCTACTACTACCCAGTAAGTACGTAACTTGTTTTTATGTGGATAATATTTTTATTCCAAAAATATCCGGTGGGCTAACCTTGTGCCTGCATCACATTCACCAACGACTCACTTTGATTATGACGCCCGATCGGAAAGAGCATCGATCGACAGCGCCTCCTCTCCCTGCCTAAATAAACGGTCGCGCCCATCCCCATCCCTCTTCGTCATCCCTACCTGACCCGTCTTTTGTTCCTTTCCTCTTTCTCCCAACCTTCCCTCCTCTCCACGTTCTTAACATTCCATTCTCTCCCTCGTGCACGCCCAGGTATGTGTCATTTCCATTTCTATTGTCTTTATATTATCGAATAATTTCATTTGTCTAGAGACTAACAACGAGCGATCCTCTAGTAATCACAAACGCACGCCAACAATAATAACCCTTTACCTCTTCAAATTCCCTTACTCCACATATCACAATGCGTTTCTTCGCTGCCATCGCTCTCCTAGCCTCTGTCGCTGTCGCCAGACCGGCTGAGAATGGCGCCCTGAACGCCCTCAACGTCCAGGTTATGTGCCTTGGAGTGAGTTTGGCCATGTCCATCATGTCATGATACAACAGCTTCCTAACAATTCCCAGCGCGACGACGGCCTTTGCGTTGGCGGTAACATCACGGCCGCCGGAAACAGCTGCTGCCCTCCTCTGGTCTGCGGTTCTGACCGGGTAAGTGTTTCACAACATTGGCGATTTGCACCACAACGACTAACATATCACTTCTTCAGAAATGCCACTAAATGCCAAGCACCGAGGTCTGCCATTTTGACCGTCAAGGAAAGCTCTAAACTGTGAAGATACATAATGTGTGCAGGGGTTGAAGGTGTGATGTCGGATACGCTGGCGTGGGATGAAGCCATCTCGAACGGCCGGGTTCATATTGTACTTGTCGAATACGACTAATATGTGTCAATAACATTGCGATGCTGACAAGCTCGCTCAAAAATCTGAGTTGGGGTAGTTAACTAGGAAGATAGACTAACTCAATTTCATTGCCATTGAATCTGGCTGGCTCATTGACCGTGCTGGTAAACCATTGGCTTTGCTTGATGTTGACCTAGGGACGAGTGACGTGCAACGATGATCACCGTATGACGAACTATTACTACATCTAACCCTCAACTTCCGCTTCAACATCCCCTCCAGTTTGCACTTTCAACGCCCGCCTACGCGCTGCACGAAGCCTGCGACGCGCTCCCATAGGCGCAGAAATGCCGTTCGTGAACACTTTCCTTTGACATTTTAAAGTCTTTCTGCGCCCGCAGCCTACGAACGCAGCCAGAAAATCACTGAGCCCAGCTCTTCACCAATGCCGACTATCATTTCTCTAAAGCAACTTTTAGAGAAATCGCCAGAGAACCTGATTTCCTCGACTTGTTTTGATTGCCACCCAACACTGATTATCGCTGGTCGGTATCGGCGCTATTGTGTCGAACAAAAGGAGTGGTGATACGTGAGACATGAATCTATTTCTTCTCCCCCCAAAGCCTTGAATTTGATTACCGGTCGCTCAATCTTCTACACATCACAAACAGTAGATCCCGATCCTCTTCTTGAATCACATGATGAGAGATGGATGGCCTCAGGGTCATGTGTTCCAGTATTGGAGAATTTGTTAGCACAAGCATCTACTACACTGTACAGCAGAGTCCCCCTTTAATATGTAACGTTGACCCGTCGACTCGACTCTTTCTCGGCTGTGGTCCGGAAAATGTGATGTTTATCAGACAGACAAGACGCCGAACATATTGTTGCTCGCCCCGTAACTACTCATTTGATAAGGACATGCCCTATAGGAATCCGAAACCTCCCGTCTTCCTCTTCATGCCGATGGGACCATGTCTCGTTGCGCCTACAGGAGCTCTCGTGCTGCACCGGTTCTGGTATCAGACACGGGCAACCCACATCTTGCTCATATCGCACATTACACATCGAAACTTCAAAAAACGCTCGTTGGCGCGATATCGTTAACATATCATACTTCAGAAACTTCATCATACCCGGTTCCAAGATACCTCCAGCCTACCCACTCAATCCCCCGCTCAAGCAAACCCAAACCACTCCATATCCTTATCCCCATGAATCGGCACCGTATGACCCACGCCCGTGGCAAAGATTCCCTGCAGACTATCTCCCCAGATCGTCGTCTCGTAATTCGTCTCTGGGGTGTTCGCCTCTGTCTTCTCCGGCGCACTATAATCATACCCGAACACACCAGCCCACTGCTTGCACGTCTCGTAGTAGTTCTGAGGGTACAGCGTCGTATCCACACTACCGTGGTAGATCTGCATCTTCGGACGACTTCCCGAGTATCCCGAGTACATTGCCTCGGCAATACTGGCCCAGTGCTCGGGGGTAGTGATTACATCACCCTGGGCGCAAGTGGAATTCCATCCGTCTACTTGGTTGGTGTTCGAGTAGAAGCACCCGGCTGAGACGCCGGAGTAGACGGTGGCGGCGGCGAAGAGTTCGGGGTAGGTTGCTGCCATTACGTTCTATTTATATTAGCATCCACAACTTTTACTATTCTAATTTGTAGAGAGGGGAGATCGGTTGAAAGGGAAGAGGAAATACCGTCATCATAGCCCCCGAACTCGATCCCGTCACAAACACCTTGCTACTATCGGCCCCGTACTCGCTAATCGTCCATGTTACCATGTTGGCAATGGAGTTACTGTTTCCACCGCCATTGTGTGTTAACGTTGCCTGTGAACTCACGTCCCAACAGCCACCGGAGTATGGGCTGGACGGGTAGATCACGATGAAGCCATATTGTTCCGAGAGAGTGGCGTAGGGGGAGGCGCTGTAGTAGCCGGGGCCGGTGCCAGTGCCTATACTATGCTTAATATTGTGGTGTATATTGTAGAAAAGTAGGGGAACGTACAGTAGTGGATTGCAACCACGATACCTGGATTCGAGGCCAGGTTGTTAGGTACGTAGATGTACATGCCTACATTTGTAGGGTTATCACCGAAATCGGTGACCTGTTGGAGACTGCCACTGCGCTTGACAGCATGGGCGGCGATGGGGTGGAAGAGGGAGGTAAAGAGGGTGGTGATGACGAAGAGGAGGTGGGTTGATAATAACATGGTTATTTCTTCTGCCGTGCTAGGCAGTATGGGCGGATGGTGCTAGGTGGAAAGAGATACAGCTTGAGCAGTAGTAGCGAAGGCGCCAGAGGGTTTGAAGACGATTTATAGCGCTCCAGGGAGCGGGTAAATTGAAACATTATGGAGTAATTGTATGTTTCTATAGTTATGCGGAGTATTGGTTTAGTGGATATTTGGCAGTGGTCTAGATGTAGGGAAGACAGTGTAGGCTGATTTCATCACGGAGATTAAGTAGGGCTAATGTGACAGCCGTGACAGCTCCGACATGAGGAGTCTGGGATAGACGGCACGGAGTGGGAACTCCAGATCGAAATGGTTAGAGATCGTCGTTGCGGGCCGAACTCCGTAACAGATCCCGTTAGAGCCACTGCAGGGCTGGACCACTGGTAATTCTTCACACTGGCGGCTGTCCGAGTCTATCATTAAATAGCCGGTATTCAGCCAGAATGGATATATGGTTATGGAATAATCTGGGGTAAAGCTTAAGCAATCGGCACATTTCTATGCCATGTGAGTGAGGTTCTTGGGAGTATACTCCCGGCGCTGACGAACGGATTTGGATAACTAACTACGCGACCAGCCCAGTCATAGCAGGCTCAAGTCCGACCTGGATTCTGTCGCAGCCTTTGTTAGAGGCAAGAAAGGTGTCAGGTGGCTGAAAGTGGATGAAGAAAGAAGTTGAAGTTGCGGCGTAGGTGGTCCAGTACGTGCTTGGACTTACTAGTGACTAGTAGCCCTTGTTTCTAGACCACGGTCTTACATGTCACATAGTTAGTCGATAGGACTTTGGTTTTATCTAGTTGCATCCATCAGTAACGTAGTCAATTTTTCGTCAGATGAAAGGGGCAGAGGAAAGCATGTAGCTCACCCCCACAATATGCAGCCAAATATCCGCCTCTCCCCTTCCTCTTCTGGATTGTCGAGGTCGGTAGCATAGGGCACCGAGTTGTGACAATCCAACAACCATGTCGCTATCGGCTGGCCGCGAGGAGAGATAGTGGCGATATTCATCATGGAGGGACTGTCCTCCAAAACCACAAGATTCGCTTTACCCAATTTTCTTAAAGCAACCTGCTGTCCTTCCGTATTTTCTAGAAATGACAACTACTCTCCAAGCGGCTATCAGGACCCATTGAAGTTCAACGACTGTTTGATTAGTAGAACTCTCAGTTATAGTATCTTAGGCAGCAAGTTGTCAAGTCTCTTATGTCTGCTCAGTGGCGATACCTGAAGCAGACGAGGTCCATATCAAGCCCGTGATGAACCAGCGGACAGAACCAATGCAAGGGAAACGGCTGATAGGTGAACTGTCATAAAGGGATTTCAATTTTGGATTTTTCATTATGCGAATCCGGGCCTCTCTACAGTTATCTACCTTTCTTTATATCCTCCTTTGTCGTAAGCCCAGATCATAGTATGATCAATGGTAATACCACCAAGCCCACCGCCTTATTCCTTGATATACTCGGCAAGTAATAACCGTGTCATCCCGGGCCCATGGTAGGTATTTCCAACGACTCATTCACCGGTAATCTGCAGTTTCCTCTAGCCAATAGAAGCTCTTTTCTTCCCTAGATGTTGGAAGAATCGCGAAAATCCACTTTGCCCTTTTGGCCAATAGCGACGCGCCGGTTTCATGTCTGGGACGCGACGAGGCTGACAATGGGGTCCTTCCTAATTGAGCAAATGTGATGCCTGAGGTCATTATTAGGACCTAGTGACATCCACTGGTTGGACCTCTCTCACCCAGACCGCTTTGTTATAGGCTAATCCATGATACAGCAAGATACGATCATGCGCAGACTTGGAGTTTTTAACATACAATACAAACTAACAGTTCGGTACATCAACACCCAACGAATGAGGAGATTTCGCAGGTTAGATCTAGAGCTATGCGCGAGCTTCTGCAGCAGGGCCTAATGGGCTCTTGAAGCCAGCAAACCCGTTGACTTTTGTATCTTCCAGCTTGGCACGGAATGCCCCCAGTCCTCCAAAGTAGAAAAGACTCGACGTTGCGTCTCCTGGTACGTTCTTCCTAAACATCCACGATGACCCTTTGTTGAAAAGAAGCATCTTCGCTATCTGCTCGCATACCTCAGTCCACTCACGCTCAGCTTGTTCCGTGGCTTCGATCTCACATTGCTGCCCTGTGTGTCTGGTGATATCCTGGGCCTGTCGGATCGCGTCTCTCAAAAAACCAACTTGTATCTCCAGCAACGGAGGCACATTTCCGAAAGCCACCCTCGGTCCAAGCACGGTCAGCATGTTCGGGAATCCTGCAACTGAGCAGCCCAGATAGCAGTCCGGACCAGTACGCTTCCAGCGGTCATACAGAGTTTCGCCCTTCTCACGCCCTTGAATGTCTATTTGAGCATAGGTTCCGTCCATAGCGTCAAAGCCAGTTGCGACTATTATCACGTCTAGCTCGTGGAGTTTGCCGTCTGAAGTACAGATACCTTCTGCCGTTGCCTTGGTGATGGGATATTTCTTTATATCAATCGCATGCACGTTCTCCCGGTTGAACTGCTCATAGAATCCAGCGTCTGACAACGGTCGTCGATTCCAGGCCTCCTTTGGAGTCAAAACAGCCCGCTTCTCGGGATTCTTCACAATCTGTGCAATCTTTCTGCGAAGGAATCGGCAAACCTCTTCATTAGCCGCTGCGTCTATAGCAATATCTGAAAATGCTGCAAACATCATCTGGATACCATTTCCGTCCCTCCAGAGATGCTCCAATATCTTCTCGCGTTCTTCTAAGGGTATGGACATGAATGGTCTGTCGTGCTCCAGAAAGCCCATACCCAGCCGGGAGGTTAATACGTCTGACCAGACCTGCGGGAACTTCTCATCCATTGATTTTTGTTCTTCGGGGGTCATCTGCTTGTCGTTTGCTGGGATAGTATACTGTGGAGTACGGATGAAAACATGGAGCGATTTCACCTTGCTAGCAATAGCAGCGACGACTTGTACCCCGCTTGAACCAACGCCTATGACACCGACACGTTTGTTTTCCACTTGGATGCTTGGATTCCACTCAGCTGTATGGACTACCTGGCCCTTGAAGCCTTTTAGACCAGGGATATCGGGAACCTTGGGCTTGACGAGGACCCCAACGGCTGTGACAAGGTATTTCACGCGAAATACATCGCCAGCCTGACACTGGACCCTCCACTCCTTAGCAACATCATTCCATCTGGCAGCCACCATCTCCGTATTGAAATGAATACGGTTTCGTAAATCATGTTTCTCGACAACATGCTTGAGATAGTCCAGGATTTCCGGCTGGGTGGAATATCTTCTCACAACCGGATGGGTCTGGAGCAGTTCTTCGTCGAAGGCATAGCGATAAACATGACTCCAGCTGTCGCTCAAAGCACCGGGGTATCGATTCACATACCATGTGCCACCGACGTCACGTTCCTTTTCAATCGCCTGGACAGCCAAGCCTTCCTTGACGAGGGTATATAGGGTATAGATACCAGAGAAACCAGTCCCTACAACGAGGGCGTCGAGGCAGTATTCACGGGACATCTTGCTGTTGCCAGGGGCACTGCTTTGGGTTGAAATTCTCCCTGTCTTTTTGTGAGCTCGCTGGGATCGACTAGTTTATATCCCTGTGCTCTGATTACTATTCAGCTCGACGTCTGCAGTGCTTCTGTCCTTGGCTAAGGATCCTTACATATGTGGCTGCACCTTAACCAGTCATCGCATTGGCAGTGGCCGGCCTCATAAGACACATCCTGGTTGCTGGCCTTAAGACGTAACACGAGGATGACATACCAAGGCCACCTTCATAACTAGGAGCTAGGACCCTTCGTAGCATGCCCTAAGTATAAGAATAGAATCGTAGTGGCCTGCAACTCCCCAAATAAGAACCGGGCGGTCACGCGATCTGAGGCTGAATGGCCGCAATCTTTCCACTCTCCATCTTCCACCCATCCTTCCCATCCTCATAGCTGCTTCGTGATCTTCATTGCGGGTTTGCAGCCGTTTCCGGGACATCAAAGTCAATGTGCTGGCTGTTATTCTGACACGGCGGAATCCAGAAGCCAACTTTAGGCCTCCAACCAAACCTACCCCGCTCTTCGTGCTCACACTCTTGCTGCAGTTCTTTATCGACCGATCGCTTCTTAGGCTTCAACAAAAAGATCTCGGAATGCCCGAAATTCTTTGACAGGGGATATGCTTGCCACTTTCCAACCTGACAGTCAACACGAGGACTCCAGCAACTCGTGACCAAAATGATCATCCACGCCTTTGAGTGCTCGACAGCTGTAGGTTTATCCCAAAACTCTCTGTATCCTTCACCTTTTCATTATCTTCCGATTGGAGCTGTCAAAGTGTAACTGTGCTGCCTTTAGTGTATTAACGCTTTTTCCCCCCCGTGCAGAAGCCACGGCCTGACCATGATCATACCAAGTTATCCTTGAAGCTTTACATCATCCATGCTGCGATAACCTATTTGCTCCTAAGTGCCCGAACTTAAGCACAGCCATGACCGAGGGTCCAAATCTTCTTCCACTTCTTCAAAGCCAAGACTATGTAGCCAATACTCGTTGATTAGGATGTCCTACTCCTTCAACGAGTCTGCCTGCGCAATGAATCCCGATCAGGCAACGCAACATCCACTTCCGGATTATAACAAACGCGATAGTATACGTGGACATTCTTGGTGTGACTCTGGCATAAGCAGAGTTACACAGAGGCTTGCAGGTATATAAACGGACTCTACTCTGCGTATCTGATGTAAGCATCATATATGAATCTCAATCGCCCAACATGCGACAGACTCTTTCACTAACGGCGCTCTGTCTCTTGCTTATAGGTCTCACAACCAATGTACTAGCTCGGTCTCGGCCTGAGCACAAACCAGGATGGGTACACCACGGTCAAGTGAGAAAGGGCTGGATGCACAACCTGCAAGCTCGCTCCGCAACACCTTTATTTTCAGGCACGTCGAGCAACTTTACAGTAATCAATTCTCCCAATGAAAACGTCTGGGGAGGCCTGACAGATGTTGAGACAGCATCTGTTGTGCACTGGCTGCTCCAACAACCCGAGCTTAACCTAACCGCTGCCGATGACGCCGGAGAGTGGGATAATACAATGTAAGCTTAGCTACTCCGTTCATGGTAGCACACTGACCACATAGTTCCCTTGTCGAACTGATGCGTCCGAACAAGTCCGATGTGCTGCTGTATCTGGACCACGATCACCCCCCTCCCACGCGTTATGCACATGTTGTGCTTGATGTACGTGCTACTCTTGACCCATGCTACGCCGAAATACTGGTAGGACCTCTACCGATTACGGACAAATCTACCACCACGTGGGTGCCACTGGAATATCCTTATACGCGCAAGACACAAGGCCGCATACGTAATCTTGACGCTGACCACGACACTATTTACTCTGAATGGCTATACAAGATCAGCGCTTCGATAGTCGACATCACTCTGGACCTCTTCAACGGCACAGCCTTAGGCCTAGACAATGATACCATAAGAATCTCAGGGATTAACCCCCTGTGGCAGGATGATGGTCGGACCATCCGTTGGGATACATTCTGGAACCTCCCTGTTGACGACTTCGACGCCAGCAGCATTCTGCCCCTGGGATTATTCTTCAAGTCCGACGTCACAGGCCGTGATCCATCCAAGTGGAAGCTGGAGGGCTGGCTCTACAATAACATATTCTACGAAACCACCAACGCTTTTCGCAAGGCATACTACTCCCCAGGCTTCGTCAAACTCCTCTCCAACGTCGAAGGCGACTGGGCACGAACAGACCAACAGGGACCAATCCTCCCAGACGATCTAAAGCAGCCTCCAGTCATGGTTGCCCCATCAGGAGCACGGTACGCTCTCGACACAGACCAGAAATACGTAACCTGGATGGGCTTTTCCTTCTATATCGGCTTCTCCCGCGACACCGGTGTTTCCATCTTCGACGTTCGCTACAGAGACCAGCGCATCCTATACGAGCTAGGTCTACAAGAAGCTCTGTCACACTATGCAGGAAACGACCCCGTTCAATCCAGTACCGCATACTTAGACTCGTACTACGGATTCGGTCCATACACGTTCGAGCTCGTCAAAGGCTACGACTGTCCAAGTTATGCCACATATCTCAACACCTCCCTCTATGAGTCCGAATCAACACACACCCACGTCGACAGTCTCTGTCTTTTCGAATACGACGTCGACTACCCCATCCAGCGCCACACCACCCCAAGCTACGTCTCCAGCACCAAGAAATCTACCTCACTCTCCGATCCGTCTCCACCATCGGTAACTACGACTACACCATCAGGTAACACCCCTTTCACCACCCCTCACTCACTCACTCACTTAAAATCCAAATCCAAGCTACACATTCCACCTCGACGGCACCATCGGCATCGAAGTCCGCGCCTCTGGCTACATCCAAGCCGCCCACTCAGCCCACAACACCAACTACGGGTACCAAATCCACTCGGCCCTCTCCGGCTCCATGCACGACCACATCCTCAACTTCAAAGCCGACTTTGACATCCTCGGCACCGCTAACTCCATCGAACTCACCTCCCTCGTCCCAATCACTACCTCCTACTCATGGTCCAATCCCAACCAACCCCGAAACACAATGTACCTCTCCCGCCGCATCCTCTCCTCCGAAACAGAAAGCCGTCTCAACTTTCCCCAATCAGCAACAACCACAACAAGAATGCTCAGTATCATAAACCAAGACACCCGTAACGCTTACAACGAATACCGCGGCTACCGTATCCTCCCTTCCTCTTCCTCCTCCGCCGGAGGGGGAGGTACAAACCACCTAACAATCATCAACTCAAGCACCCTAATCCACGCAGCCCACTGGTCCGAACACGACATCCAAATCACCCAACACCACGATCACGAACCGCGGTCCGCGCACCCATACAATAACCAAGACGTATATAACCCCATGATTAACTTCAACGAGTTCTTCGACGGTGAGGATCTCAATCAGACGGATCTGGTGGTGTGGGTTAATCTGGCGATGCATCATGTTCCCACTACCGGGGACTTACCGAATACAGTTATGACCACCGCGGTGGCGGGCGTGAGGTTTGTGCCGGTTAATTATTTTATGGGGGATCAGAGTCGCGGGACGGTGAATATGGTTAGGGTTGGGTTTGGAGATGATGAGGATGGGGGTGGGGTGGAGGTGGAGGAGGTGGAGACGTTTGGGCAGGCCGGGGAGAGGGTGGAGGTTGTGGTGAGGCCGGTGGAGGAGGTGCTTTGGGGATGAGTATTATCATTTCACTATTGGGTTTGTCCTATAGTATCTATCTATATGTATCTCCCCCCATCCACCGTAATCACCTGTCCCGTCATATAACTCGACTCCTTGCCCAACAAGAACCCAACCGCATCAGCTATCTCCTCAGGCTTAGCACACCTCCTACCCAGTGGCACCTGACTCGTGTACTCCTCCTGCATCATCTTAATCGAGATACCATCTATTAGAGGCGTATCCGTAGCACCGGGCGCCACGCCATTAACTCTGACCCCCTAGCCCGCAAAACTGGCAGCCCATGTTTTCGTCATGCCCAACACGGCATGCTTGCTCACTGTGTATGTCACATACCCCGAGTTAGCGTGGAAAGATGCCGTTGAGCATAGATTCACAATCACGCCTCGGCCTTCTCTAGCTGTCGCTGGGTTGAACTGCTGATCGGCTTCGCTTGGGAGAATGTGCGAGAGGAATGCCTTCCCCACGTTCCAGACGCCGCGGACATTTACGTCCATGACTCGGTTGAAGATATCATCGGATTCGAACCCGAAGGCGACGGGTTGGTAGGCGATTCCGGCGTTGTTGACCAGGCCGTGGAGGGTTAGGGTGGTGGTGGTTATTTGGTCGAAGGCTTTTTGGACGGCGGTTACAGAGGAGACGTCTGTGTTGGGGTAGAAGTAGAGGTTTTTCTTCTTCTGAGAGAGGTGGGAGGGGAGTTCTGGTGGGATGGATGAGATGTCAAGGACGTGGACGATGGCAGATCGTGCGAGGAGGTAGTGCAGGACGGCGAGGCCGATGCCTGAGCAGCCGCCGGTTAGGACGTAGGCTTTGCCTGAATGGTAGTCTGCTGTGAGGGTCATGGTTTTAGGATTCGGGTGTGCTGGGGTTTGGGTAGAATGATGAGGCGAGAGTGGGTTTGGCTATGAGAGGGGCTGGTTGGTGCTTTTGAATGATAGAAATCTGATAGATGGTAGCTATTGCGGTGTAGACTTAGCACATTATGTATAGGGGTGGACAATCATGTAGATTGCCGTCCAGGTTGAGGTTCATGCATTGGGATGACTTCTTCATTAAGCAAACGGCATGAATGTGGTTTTACCCACCAATTAGCAGCCTTCTCCAAGCAGGGATGTTTCTCGAAGTGATGGAAACCGCACCCATCACAAGATTCGATAGGCAAGTCAACTTCTTCAATTCAAATTTGTGCGACTGTCAGATGCGTGGTAATCTTGTTTTAGGAACACTAGTATGAACTATGGGCCCAGTGTGTCTCATGCTGATAACCGATGCACATTGCTGTCCAGTCGATCACACACCCTTGTCTAGCATGCTACAGCGACTGACATAATACTTATTTGGTAGTGATCGCCGGCTTTCTTAGTTTGACGTATCATTAGCGCCCTATCTCAATTATCACTTGAGCTCGTCGGCGTTGGTCATGTATGTGATCGCTTTTGGTGGTCTTCGGCTTCCCCTAACTGTAAAGGTCCGTTGGTCTGCAGCTGAACATTTTATGCAGTAACTGTCACACCAGGAGAAAAGCCAATGGTCTCCGCCGTCACAAAAGAACTTGCACATTCTCAACCGCTTCACCTGGAGGCCTGTCACTTTGGCACACTTCACTGTAGTTCAGTAGACCCTCCATGCTCTATCCTAGGTCTGGCTTCCAAGAGCACACTGCCAATTTCAAAGGCCAGACTGTGTGACCATTGGTGAATGTTTGCAACCCCACGCTATGCAGAGCTCAGTGGGAGATTTTGGTCCAGCATCACTAGTCGAGCCACAGCCTCCCCAAGCGCTCAGCATCTGCCTGAGGATTCGTTTGCCATAGTCTAGGCATTCTTCTCCCCAACCTTCCATCGTATGAAACCCTTCGTCCGAGCCTGGATCTCGACACCAACGATATGAACTTGGCGATCTATCAAATTTTCATAAGTTTGAGGCTCGAAGTTCGAGGATTTTTGCTTAAAAGTCGCATTCCAGACACGCGAAGAGGGTTCGGATGCGTACGACCTGTTGCTCTGTTGCTAAGATTATCCTATGTTCCTGGGATTAGCGTCACTGTGAATATGCTTGTTGGTCACAGGTAATAGGTTATGCACGAGATCTCTATCATTAGCAAGTGTCCGGGGCAGACAGAAATGACAGAGGATATGCTTGTTTCCAGTCCAGCAAGGCCGCAGAAGCGAGGTCGAAGCCCTGTAGTACTTCTCGAGCTTTAGGCAGACGAGAGCATTGCTAGTGCACAAAGGAGCTAAGAATGTTCGGTTAGTTAATCACCAACTGAAACTATCAGCGAAGCCGACTAGACGAATCAAGTCAGTCTCCATTTAAGCGAGGCCATGCACGCTTGCGAGCCAAACAAATCTCACTGCACATGAGATGAAAATCCTTAGTGCCAACTAATCCAACACACCCACCAACTAGTTAATAAACACCCCATTGTCCGTGACCATGAAACCCCTTGCAGTATTCTGCGTGTCAATCCCGGTGATGATCCAACAGCGCTGCACTAAAGAAGAATAAGGAACGGCATTAGAGAACCAACCTGCGGCCGAAAGCGCCTACCATCCATACCGAAAGACGGAAAATAATGTCTCATCGTACCCAAGGATCGCCCGCGCGGCCCTGAAATTAGCTTTCCACGGTTTCCACCAGATCGGGCCCGTCATTCCCCTTTGGAAGATATTTCCGAACCACGGTTCTAGCCCCTTGGCCAGAAAAAGGGATCTAGGTACTCTGATACAACACCCAGCCGCGATCGAACCAGCACCAGTTTGCGAGATGGAGAATAATCTCGCTCAAAGGAACCAATTTCCGGTCGTTTCCGGGCCTTGGCCGAGGGGTATCCACTGAGGCGAGCTCGCTGGATCGGCATCTATCTATCTAGACTGGGTTTTTCTGACGGGAGGTAGATAGTCTAATGTTCTGGGGCATTTGTTAGCTTGTATTGTGCAAGATGGTCGTGCCGTGGAATGCGGATTCTAATAATATCTGGTTCGTAGGAGAGAAAGAGATGAAGCGAGGCTTACCAGGGTTGAAGTTGTCGGGCACCGTTGGTTTCATTGGGCTAGTGTGTGAAGTAGAGGGTTTTCGTTCCTTCTGGTTAGCGTGCAATAAGTGCTAGATAGACGCAGGTAGTGTTTGGAGAGTGTGATTGAAGCCAGATGGAGGTGGACTTCGGTAGTTCATCAAGCTGATAGGTGCCCGCTGAGGTATTCGAAGCATCATTGTGCACTGATTGGATCAGTACAGCCACATATCTCCTTTTCTGATGCTCATGTATGGCAAACCATCGACCGTGAGTGAGGCCATAGGACAATTCGACTTGTCCAACTCAGTTGCACTCAATCTTATTCTCAGCGAATCTATCATCAAGCTGGTTCACGATGCATGATGAAACGACAAACAGGGCATAAGCTTACAACCGGGAAGTGAGATACGGACAAGCTCAGTCAGGCAGCATTGATGGAGATGCAGAGGAAGTCCGAGTCAAAAAGGAAAGCCGAATCCGTGCGCCTCGTCACGAGATCCCTCGGTGTGCCTGAGGTTCCATCCAACTCGGATGACAGGAAGAAACATTGAACTTGATCTCGTCCTTTACCTTCCTCTACCACTCTCGATCTACATTACTACGAGTCATCTCCTGCTTGGTTCCTCTATCATACCCGCACAGAAGAATGTACAGGCACAGGCTAACTACGTACTGCGTTTCCTCGACCAGACAAGTCCGGCCCCAGTCCCACCGTCCTACATCCTGCCATCATGCCCGCGAAACAGTATCACTGCGATAAGGGTTCTAAGAAAATGTCTGCCTTGACAGGATGAGGTCTTTTCCGCACGTCCGGAGCCCTTGGCGCATACGTCACAACTATCATGCAGTTGAACCCAGGGTTCAACTTCTACCGTATATCCGATGGTTGAGAGATGATAGACAGGGGGGTGGAAGAGCATGAGGATACAAGGACAGACCAATTGAGCATCACGTCCTTACCCCGAAGGGTATATCCGTGGAGGGACCCTAGCCACGTGCTGGGTTGAACTGGAACAATCGATTCGGCCGGATCCTTCAGAGGAGGATGGATCATACGGTATACCTGTTCAGGGTCGAACATATCCAGTTACTGTGTCTCCTTGACTATTACTGCGCCCGACCCCACGCCAGCCAGCCAGCTAGCCAGGTCCTGGCTACAACTGCAGCGCGTGCATTACACCACTCAGGATTCAGGAGGTTTAGGATGGCCGTTACCATTCTGCTATCCGTGCACGGTCTTCCCTAAACGTCCGACCCGACAAGACATGGCAGTATCCGCTCTGGATTCGAATCCCTGTCCTAGATTGTATGATCACTCTCGTTTATGTTTCTCGGGATGGCTGGCTGGTGGTAGTGGACTGACGCGACACCCCTCCCCTTCCCTCCCTCAGTGCAACGAGACTGCCGGGAGTACGTAGTATAGGAGAAGGTACAAAGTCCACCGGGAGAAGGGATAGGATAGGACAAAAGAACAAACGCCGCCGGACACAACCAAACCAAGGCAGGAAAGAGCGAACTAGAGCTCCAGCATCCAGCATCCACCGACGATCGTCATTCCAAATATGATATAGTCTTTCATGCGTTCGTCCTAGTAGTGTGTCACAGTACGTGCATCAACAGAATGCAATCCGACGATCGGGGTAGTAAGTAGTCCGCGGGAGTGTTCGTGCTGTGAGAAAGAAGAGAGAAGAGACGACGAGTCAGGATTGCAAGGCCTGGAACAGAAACAGAAACAGAAATAGAAGTTCATGTCCGCCCAAGTTTCGGCTCCGAGGCAAGAAAAAGAAGAAGTGTGGTTCGACCGGACCAAGGAATTAATCAATCAATCAATCGATCCATAACTAGGCTCAACGGTTGACCCCGCAGCCTTGTCACGAGCGATATAGTACGTACCTAAGTAGTAAGTTTAGTACTCGTCAGTCGTGACACATAACATTGGTGTGCGCGGATTAGATAGCTACTAGTACTAGTACTCTGTAGTAATAGTAAGAGTAGTAGTAAGTCAGTCCGCCACCGTCGCTCTTCTTTTTTTTAATGTTATTTATTTCCTTTGCTGGCGCCCCCCTTTCCTCATTTCGGACTTTCCGGGTCTCGCCGTTCGGCTCATGGATCGGTGCTATCCGGCCGAACAACAGGGCCAACCTTCACTTGAAACGAGAGGTGTGGATTCCATCGCAAAAGAACAGACAAGACAGCCTGGCTTTTGGTTCGAAGCCTCATTCATCCTCCCTCATATTTTTTGGCTGTCCCGTTTTGTTCTTTTTGTTTTTCTCTCTTATTTTCTCACCCACATTCTCGTCGCCTTTGACCCTCATTGTCTGTGGTGTGAATATGGCATTGAGGCTTTTAAACCTTGGCTTGGCGCTCACTCACTAGATGGGGGACCCCCCCCCCAACGTGCAAAAGGAAATAACCGCGAAGCTACTCCCACTTGTTACGGCGCCCGACAGGAAGAGGGACGAAACACCAGGAAGGAAAGAGGATCACGAGCAGTGTGGTTCCTGAAGGGGAGAGAGATTTGGGAAAGGGAAGTCGAGAACGACAAGATCTTCTAATCAAACTTTAAAAGAAATTATTATTATTACAGGAATTCGGAACCGAACTGCAAATCGTCTTCGAACCCAAACCGACGAACTGCCAATTCCGGGAGGAATGTTCGGGCGATCGTTTTCTTCGGCCGAAGCGGTCATTCTTCGGCCGGGCAAGGAAGCTGCCTGATCCGCGAGTCAAGCTCGTCGTCAAACCCAAGACGCCGCCGCAGCAGCAGCAGCAGCAGCAGCCCATCTTCATCGCCATCCAACTTCCGCCGCGAGGGGGGACTGCTTCTCACGCCCCGGTCCGCCCATCTCTCCGCTACAAATACCCGCCCGTTGCCTGGCCTCGCCTCGCCTCGCCCTACCCTCAACAAACCCCCCTCACTACTCCCGGGAGCTGAACGAACCAAACCCCCCCCCCCCAACCTCCCTCTTGCTATGTCTGGAGAATTCTGCATCCTGCTCGATTCTTCCACCCCCTCACACCGCTAGTTATCAGGGGGAAGAGGGGGGAAGCTTGTCGACGCTGGCTATAGGGTCATCAAGGCTCGCCCAAGGGGCACACTGTAATATATGCGGCATGAACTGACACGGTTGTTCAGCGAAGGAGTCTGCTGGTACGACTTCTCTCAGCCGCCTCAATGGTGTAGGTGTACTCTCTACGGGGCGCTTCATACACCCAAACAGCGGGTGAGAGGGACCGGATGGGTGAGCCCGTGCGCCCGCGTCCGTTGGGGCCGTCGCACAAATTCACTAACTATCATGTTTTTGGATGACTGCCCGGTTGATGGGTCAAGCATTTCCCGAACTCATGCTGGGAAATAGCATTACATCCGAAACCTGGTTAAGAATGTTGTCAATATGCCCGTCTGGAGAAACGCTCTGGCTAGAGGAGTACGCTGGTACCCCCGATCCCAGAGTGGAGGATGGCGATGCGAACGAGGTGGCAGGGGAAGTGTTCTGCAGGCTAGGTACCACCTTCGGCACCACCCGGTGGCGCGTTTTGCGCGCACGGAAGGCGGCACTGACCTCCCGAAGAGCGTGAAGGGAAGATGCAAGGTGCTTGGCAGTGTCCGTCTTGCTGTTGTGGTCGCTGCTCTTATCGTCATGGACATGGTCCGACAACGCCGCTTCCAGTTTCTCGATCAAGTCCCACGTCTGCGGATGCAACTGATCGTTGTTATTCGCTACCAAAAGAAATGCTGACGCAATGGTTCGTTGCAGGCTAATCCAGGTTCGCGACGCATGGGAATTGATGGAATGTAGCTCAATGAATGCCTCGATTGTGTTTATCAAGTTCGTCAAGCAATCCTCCCGAACAACTTCGCGCCGCTGTTCATCCATCGGAGTGTCCGGATCCAACGAAACTCGGCACATGAGCGATATGAAATACGAGGAATGGAGTCGCAGTTCGGTCCGTTCGATATGCTCCCCGAGCGTCGCACAGCGTTCGCGAGATTTCAAATGCGGTGCGGCCTCGGCAATGATTCGTTCAATGCGTTGCTTATACTCCCGGATTTCGTGGTACCGCAGGTGGGAATGATGCGTGAACATCAGCCCTCGCAGCATGTCGAGGACAACCTGAATCAGGCGGCAAAGCGTTTCAAAATACCCTCGGTGACCAGGCATCGATTTCGGATCGTACGGGATCTCTGGCTGGTTGATCATGGTAATGGATGGTCGGTCATACGCCAAGGAAAAATGACTGTTCTGAAAAGCCATCGCCCACCTTATTGCGTTGCGCATTAGCATCGGAAATTTTTTCCAGTCACTCTCATGATTGTCGATGATTTCCCTTACCATACTCTTCTCCGCGCCGCCTGCGTGGCTCGCGAAAACCCCGAGGTCTCGACATGGAGACCTAGCACCATGCACATACGCTCCGTCATTCCTTTCAGTCAAGTGCATTAGCTTCGAGCTGCTGCCTCGTGTGCGTTGAATGTTACTCACCCAGCAACGTGTAAGATGCGCCTGCGTTCATGTTATACGACAAGACACTGCCAATGATCAAGAGGATCTGGATCACCTCCAGGGATGGCTGAGACACATAGTTCAACATGCGCAGACAATGGTAAGAACAAGACACTGAGGCGGGTAAGTATGAAGTGAATAGAAGCTAGTGTGGAAGTGTCGACCAACCGTATACCCACGAGGTCAACTCTCGTTCTTTCCCAGGCAGATCAGATAGTTGAGAGCCAGATGCTAAAACAGCAAATAGAAGGCTAAGAAAAGAGACACTCATGCCAAACGGCTTCACTAGGCCATTAGCATCCGGACTATATACGCCACCCGCGGCCTGTCGGCCCTGCAACAGCTTGTTCATGTCCGCTTCAAACTTGACGAGATCCGGCAGCACGGGATACAGCACCGCACCAATATTCCGATAGAAGGCTAGAAATTTTCGGCATTGCTCATCGTCGGGCAGCACACTGCACACGCCAGAGATATTGAACGTATACGGATCCGACGACCAAAGGTCCACGAAGGGGTAGGCGGCCGACTCGTTCCCCATCGCCAGCTCGGTAAGAAGGTCATCTTTGGGTAGCGCCTGCGCCGTGTCCTCGGAAACCTTCGATTTGTCTAGAATGTCCACCAGAGCAGACCTCGATCCGATGTGGACTGAGTTTGTTCTCAGCGTAGTTGATCCATAGATGCCCTCAGAGGCAGGCGAGTCGTCTTCCTCCTCCTGCTCCTGCGACGGTTCCGATCGGGAGTGGGCGACTTTCCGCGCGCCGTGCGCCTGAAACAGGGAGCCCAGACTGGTCAGGATCTGTTCCATTGTCTGCATCTTGGAGTTGATCTCGTCCCATTCCTCTTGCGACAGCGTTACCATCTCCGATAGACCATCCTGGTTGGCAGAGCTGGCTGATTCGGGATCGGCACCGTAGGGACCATCGCGATGGGCGGCAGACTGATAAGCTGCGGAAGGCATGTATTGCGGCGTATTGGTGGCGGGAGTCGTAGCGGACGAGGCATACTGGTCGGGAATGAAGGAGGCCGGTCTGGGAGCGGTGGGTGGAGGACGACCGTAGGAGCAGGTGAAGTTGCGCTTGACGCAGTTGCCGCATGGGACATTGCGATCGCAGCGGACCTTGCTGGCACGGCAAGGTAGGCAAGTTTTACACTCGCGCGGCCGGCGACGGATAGGATACGTAGGCATTGCTTGCGGTAGGATTTGCAGACGTTTGCTTGGTCCCCGCTATTTGGGAGGGGAATCTCGGGGATTGATGTGCGTGACGGAAGGGAAGGGATAGACAAAACGTCTGTCTGTGCAACCAGACGATCATACACGCGCGCTTAATTTCCGAAACGGGGCTCTAATCGTAGTGCAAACGTGAGTAAAGATGTGAGACATTGGGCGAAGGTGTTCAAGATTTTAGAACCGAGCAAAAAAAAAAAAAAAAAAAAAAAAATATGTAGACGACACGTGCAAATTGGAGAGCAAGAAAGAGAGAAGGAGAGAAAGAGCTGCGAGCGAATGAGGATAGAGTTAGACGGGCCGAGACGTCAGCAACTCTCAGCGCGACGGAGATAGGCGTATTAGGACTGAGCAGAGGAGCAGGGCACGCAAATTTCAACGATAGGCTACCGAGGAGGGCGAAACAGTGGAAAGCCAGACGTAGGAAGAGGCAGAGGCAGAAGGAGGGGGCGGAAGAGACAGACAGACAGACACTCACCGATCAATGGGTCCGACCCCGGCTGCTGCTGCTCGTAGGATTTTGAATCACCATGATAATAGCAGATGTCTTCGAGCAGAAATGATAGTAGGTTTGGGTTTAGGCAAGTGAAGCCCTGAGATAGTATGATGAGGAGTGGACAGTTGGGGAAGTAAAGATAGTAACAAAAAGATGGGGACAAGATGGTCGAGGTTAGATAGACGATCCTCCGATCAATGCATAAGCCGATCTTTCCCTGGGGAGCAGCAGCAGCAGCAGCGACAGCAAGCAGCTTTGGGGAGATGAACTGACTTTTGGAGGGGATCCGATCCGGCTCTTCTCTCTCAGCTCTTGTCCTTCCTACCCTCTCTCTGTCTCTCTCTCTCTCTCTCTCTCTCTCTCCCCCTCTCTTTCTTCCTTCCTCTCGGGTGTCTCTCTGACTCGCCCGGTTAGTCAGGCAGACATCGGCAAGAGAGAGAAAGCAGAAAATGGCATAACCAACCAACTAATTCAAACCCAACCTTCAGAGGCCCGCTGATGATTTCCGCGCCGTGGAAATGGAACCTTCCGAGATGGCGTGTTGTCTCTCATTCTCTTCCGTTCTTCCCCCTCTCATCTCTTTCTCAACAAGTTCCAATCGGGAACTGGAGAGAGTCGTGCAATGCAGAAAAATCTATAAATTGTCGGTAGTAGTAGTAGATCTTATCATGCCTTCCCCCCAATTGTTGAGTTCCCGATCGTTAGTGTTTTTTCTCTGCAGCTTCCCTTCATTCCTTCCTTCATTCCTTCCTTCCCTCCTTCCCTTTGTTCTTTTCAATGTGTCTGTTTATCGATTGTTCCGCATGGACCAAGCCAGCCGTGAATCATTCCCGCTCGGCAATTTCCCACCCAATGATTAATCGCCCATTGGTGTTCATCTGATGTTCCCTCATCCTTCGTTCTTCTCATCCTGGCGCTGCCCTTCCTTCCCGGCTGTGTCCACACCATTAGGTTCCATTTCATCCATCCACAGTCTCGGGTCCGGTGAGGTCATCGACGCAACTCCCTGGGTTAGTCAAGTTAGTTTGTCAACGTAACTCTGTTTATCCCCACTTGTTAGTCTAGTTCACTAAATAGCATTGGACATCGTAGCTAGTGTACTCACTTCAGGCTTAGTAGCTTTGATTGTTTCCCACCTCATTTTCACCCCGGTATCGTAGCGAGCGAGCTATTACTTAGCTAGCAACTCCAGCAATCGTTGCATAACTGACGTCCATTTCGGTGAATGAATCGAGATTGTTCCGATTCTGATCCATTACAAGTTCGGGAGATGAAATGATGATGGATGTCAAGTCCGGGATAGAGAGGCTGGTGGATGCTGCAGTGAGAGATGGATAGCGAGAGCTCAAAGCTACTGAGTAAGGAGAAGCCTGGATGACTGACGGACCTGGCAGTTTGACAGGTCGGGGTCAGCTGACTGGGTAAGTACAGTAAGTGTAAGTATGAAAGAAAGAAAGAAAGGAAGGAAGGAAGGAAGGAAGGAATGGAAGGATGGATGGGTATGGGCTGATCTGCTTTGTACATCCTCTTACTGCTTTGCTCCTGCCGAGACGAGCTGGTAGGTAGTGGGGAGGTAGCTAAATCTACTACTACTAGGTTTGGATCGCTCCTTCCTTGACTGATGATGCGAAGTGATCTAATTACGTGTCAATTGAAAGATACCTAATATCAATCTACTTGGTTAATGTTGTTGGTGTACTTCCTTTACTCTTTTTGTCTCTGCAGGTCGGGTACCAGGTAAGCGATTTGAAAATCCTCATCAATGTGATCGGTATATTTGGTGTATCTTATAGTATA